CTTCAAACGGTTGTCTTCCAACGAAGCAGTTTCCTCAATGGAGATGAACCGTTGTAGAGGCCTATGAAGAGGGAGCTTTGAAGGAGGGTTTTTTCCAACATCGTTGATAACTCTTGGATTTACACTGGTCCTCCTCCTCCTCCTGCTCCTCCTCCCCCTTCTCCGCCTCCTTTTCCCTGCCACGGGGGAGAAAGCGCGCAAGGAAAGGGAGTCACCGGCACAGGCATCAACCTGGCCCGGGCAGGGGCAGCCAGCGGCGGCCCCCCTGGTGCCAAATCGTTCCCCTCATCGATCCTCCTCGACCTCGACATCGATCCTGGGTCCTCCTCCTCCTTCTCCTCGATCCTCCTCGACCACGATCCTCGGTCCTCCTCGACCTCAATCCTCGGTCTTCTTCCTCCTCCTTCTCCTCCTTCTTGGTCCTCCTCGACCTCGACCCGCGGTCCTCCGCCTCCTCCTCGACTCGAGAGGGTGGTTATTAAACGTAGGAGCGGTGCCAGACTAATGTACCAGACTAGTGTACCATACTAAAATACCAGATACATGTACCAGACAAATGTACCAGAGTAATGCACCAGACGGATGTGCAAGACTAATGTACCACACTAGCGGCACCACACTAGCGGCACCAAACTAGCGGTACCAGACTAGCAGCATCAGACTGGCGGTAGCAGCCTGGCTGTGCCAGGCTAGAGTGCCAGACAACTGTACCAGACTAATGTACCAGACAAATGTACCACACGAATGTACCAGACAAATGTACCAGGCTAGTGTACCAGGCTAATGTACCAGACTAATGTACCAGGCCAATGTGCCAGACTGACGTACCACACTAATGTACCAGGCTAATGTACCAGACTAGTGTACCAGACACTTGTACCAGACGAATGTACCAGACAAATGCACCAAATTAATGTACCGGACTAATGTACCGGACTAGCGTGTCATATTAATGTACCAGGCCAACGCGCCAGACAACCGTACCAGACTGACGTACCTGACTGGCGGCGCGTCTGGTACGTTAGTCTGGCACCGCCCGGCTGTTGCCGCCAGTCTGGTGCTGCTAGTCTGGTGCCGCTAGTCTGGTGCCGCTTGTCTAACACATTTGTCTGGTACATTAGTCTGGTACGTTAGTCTGGGACTATCATACCAGACTAGCGGTGCCGCGCGAATGTACCAGACGAGTGTACTGGACTAGTGTACCAGGCTAACGTACCACACAAACGTGCCAGACTTATGTACCGTACTATTAAACCAGACACATGTGCCAGACTAATGTACCAGACTAATGTACCAAACTACTGTACCAGACTAAGGCGACGCTCGGGCATGGGGAGGTGCATAGCGTGACGCGCAGAAGCGTGGTGGGCCAGAGCCAGCAGAGGCAACTTCCCAGACTCCCGGAGGTCCGGGCAACTTCCATAGGGGCCAGCTTTTCCTCGCGAGCGGCTTTGGAGGGCCAGCTTTTCCTCGCGAGCGGTTTTTGAAACGATTCCGACGGCCTTCCCGTCGCAATCGTTTCACGACGTCGGAGATCTGGCCCCCTCCTCCTCCCCTCTCCCCCCGCTTCCGGGGCCTCCGCCGGCGCTGCCGCTGCCGGCGCCTGCCGGCCGACGCGCTCGCTGGCGGCGGCGGCGGCGGGCGGCGCCGCGGCGAGCGCCCTCTCGCCCGCGGCGAGCGCCGCTTGCAGGTGACACCCCCTGGCCGGTGCGCCGGCTGCTTGCAGCCCGCGCAGCTCCTCGCACATCAGCGCCCGCACGCTGGGCGCGCCGCCGCTCGGGCCAGGCGGAGCACCTCCGGGGCCCCGAGCGCGCGCAGCGCTTGGCGGACCTCGCAGACCGCCGCCAGCGCGAGCGGCCAGTCGACGCGGCACTTCAGCCGCTGCTGGGCCGTGGGGGCCGGCGTGCCCGGCAAATCGGGGTCGTAGAGCGCCCTGGCCGACGCCTGCCATCTCGCCGCGGCGTTCGTCGCGTCTTGGGACGTGCCGACGAATCCACCCGCCACTCCTCGACTCCGCGACCTCGAAGGCCTGCGCCCCCGCCTCCGCGGCGCACGCGTCCACGAACACCTCGCCGGAGTGCAACCCGTGGGAGCCTTCCAGGTGGCTGAGCGGGTTCCACACTCCCGGGTGGTGATCACGGGCCCCGTCCACGCGCGCCTGCTCCACCATTGGCTGCGCGAACATCTCGCGATAGCCCGCCGCCGTCTGCGACATGAACGCTGGCAGCCGCGCCACGGCGTGCGCTTTGGCCCAGGGCGCTCCTTTCGTGCCACGGGCGCCGCGCGCCAGCAAGAAGGCGCGGGCTACTGCCCGGGGCCTGTTTGCCGTCGCGGCGGCAGCCTTCGAGCCGACCGCATCTTCGACGAACGCGATCATCTCCACCATTTCGGACACCAGCGCGAAGAGCTTGAAAACAACGCCCGGGCGCACCACTTCGTCGAGGAAGCCCGCGTCCGGGACCACGTCGTGCCGCACCATCTCCTGGGACGCCTCTGGGGCGCCGCCGGCGCCGCCAACGGCGCGCCGCCGCCGCCGGGCGCGCCCCGCGAGCCGTCCCTCTGCGCCGGGCGGCGGCCCCCCCGCCTCCAAGGCCTCTTGGGCCTCAACGGCGAGGAGGAGGAGGAGGGGGAGGAGGAGGAGGAGAGAGGAGAGGAGGAGGAGGACTGCAGGAGGAGGAGGACGAGGAGGAGGAAGAGAGGAGGAGAGAGGGAGGAGGAGGAGGGGATAGGAGAGGGAGGGAGGTGAGGATGATGAGGATGAGGAGGATTCAGTACGTATTAGGCGTGATTCTGAGTCTGATGAGTAGTGATTAGGATTGAGAGAGGGATTTGAGTGTCCGGTTTTTCGCCGTCTGCTGTCGGCGGCGAGTCGCATGGTTTCGTCTGCGCACTCCGGCGGGGCAGAAACAATGACGCCGTCAAGGTATCTGAAAAATCAGCAGGAGGGCGAGAGGGCCTGGCGACACGCGTAGAGCCCGTCGAACGCGTCCGCAATGACTATTGCGAAAAGCGCCGGTGAGAGCTGGCACCCTCGGTTCCACGCCGCTGCTGGCTCGCACGCGGTGGGCGCCGTCTGCGGAGCCTTCCCAGCAATACTGCTGGGTGGCCCCCGAAAGCCCACTGCGTGTTCTCCCGGTCTGGGAAAGTCGGGGGGCCCGTTGGCGACCGCTGTCCAGGGCTTTGCCGCGCGGGATGCTGTTCAAGGGGCGCAAGAACACACACAAATAAATACACACAAATGAAATGATTCCCCATCTTCTCCCATATTTTCTGGGTTTTCGTCTTCCCGCCCAAGTCCCATATTTTCATATATTTTCTTGGGGATCGACGACTCATTGTGTCTGTGTGTTTTTTCCCCTCCTGAGCTGTTGAAGGCGCTGGAACAGTCGACAGCCAGGGCGACCCTGCGCGGGCAGGCGCACGAGCTCGCCCCTCGCCGCGCGCCCGACGGCCGACTGCCCCTGGCGTGCCCTCTCCATGGACCTCGCACACGGCCCGCGCGGCGAGGCGGTGGCGCAGGGAGCCGCACGAGATCGGCCGGAGGGTGATGCTGCGCTCTTGGTTCTTTATCCTGGTGCTTCTCCTCCTCCTCCTCCTGCTCCTGCTGCTCCTGCTCCTGCTCCTCCTCCTCCTGCTTCTCCTCCTCCTCCTGCTTCTCCTCCTGCTTCTCCTCCTCCTCCTCCTCCTCCTCCTCCTCCTCCTCCTCCCTCCCCCTCCCCCCTCCCTCCTCCTCCTCCTCCTCCTCCTCCTCCTCCTCCTCCTCCTCCTCCTCCTCCTCCTCCTCCTCCTCCTCCTCCCATCACGGTCGACACCTGGACCTCTCCTGGGGTGCGTTCTTGTCATAATCTCGAGGCGGACCTGGCCGTGGCGACGCGACCGCTTGCCAGGAGTCCTTCGAAGTCGAGGATCGACGACGCCGACGCCGACGGCGGCGGCGAGGTGCCTGCCGCCAGGCCCAGCTCCTCCAGCTGCGCCTGGCGCGCGGTCGCCGCCTCGGCGGCCGCGGCGTTCTGCGCCAGCTCGCGTTCCTGGGCGGGCGCGCTGACCGCTGGCCTCGGGGGGGGCCTTCCAAGGACGTCGGGACCCCAGGCGGCAGCAACGCTTCCCAGGCGGATGCCTGAGGCGCCAGTGACGGCCTCTTCCAGGGCGCAGGCCGATCGAGGAACACGAGCGAGCTGAAGGCAGTGTCTGCGCAGAAAGAAGGAAAGTGGGGGGAAGGTGCGAGGAAGGGGCGACCACCGCCGCCAAAACATTTCCCCTCGCACGGTTTCATCGCCCTCCTTCTCTTCCTCCTCCACCACCACCTCCTCCCTCTCCTCCTCCTCCTCCTCCTCCTCCTCCTCCTCCTCCTCACCTTCCTCCTCCCCCTCCCCCTCCTCCTCCCCCTCCCCCTCCTCCTCGTCATCTTCATCGTCCTCGTGGACCTCCTCGTCTTTTTCACCATCCCCCTCCCGCTCATCCTCCCGCTCCTCATGCCTCTCGTCCTCCGCCTCCTCCTCCTCCTCCTCCTCCTCCTGCTCCTCCTCCACCACCTCCTCCTCCCCTTCCTTCTCCTCCCTATACCGATCCTCCTCCAATGCCAGCGTCCTCGTCCTCAACTCAGACTCCCCGCAAAGCTGATCACCCAGCCGCGCCACCCTGCCCAGGCACCTGCGTAACCGCAGGCGCATTCCATGCCCCAGGCCCCGCCTCCCTGCTTGCGCGCCCGGCCGTCGACGACGTCAACGTCAACGCCGTCGGGGATTCAGGCTTCTGCGCTTGTGGCCTTTTGGGGTCTTCGGAACCCTGCACCAGGACAAGCGTTTTTTTTTTTTTTTTTTTTTTTTTTTTTTTTTTGTTTTGAAAAAATAATAAATAAAAACAAAATATAAAAAATGGACACCAGGACAAGCGGGGGGGTGGGTGGGTGGGGTGGGATGGGGGAGGAGCGACAGCCACCCGGGGGCATCGCTCGCTTCGCCCCAGCGCCTCGTCGGCCCCGCTGCGCCGACGAGGCACGGGCCGAGCCTCCGGGCGCAGCGCGCAGCGGCCACGGCGTCGATGTTGACGCGGCAGGCGGAGACCTCGTCCTGATCAAGCTCGAGCCTCTGGTTTTCGTCTGGGTTCGGGGGCTCGTCGCTGGACGGCCGATTCGGCCGCCGCTGCGTCGGGCTTGCACCTGTTGTGCAGCGCCCTGCAGGTCCTCAAAGTCCTAGCTGGCCGCCCAGGCCCAGCCAGGGACGACCGACTGGCTGGCCCTTCCTCGCGGCAAGCAGGTGTAGTTCAACACCCGCGGCGCACGATGTAGTGGGCGATGGTGTCGGGGAAGCGCTTGCCGAAGACGCAAGCCAGCTTCGTGGCCCAAGCTCCCGCCCACGTCTTCCGTGCAGGCCGCTCTCTGGACGCGGGCTACAGCGCCAGATGGAGGCGAAGCTGGCACCAGGACTCGAAGATGGACGAAGGTAAGCGCGAGGTGCCAATCATGTCCTCATGGGGCTTCTGGTCTTCCGTCCTCAGCAGTATCAAGCAAAAGCACCTGGGGCTCCGTCTCGTTGTGCAGAGCGTGGCTGGCTTCGAACCAGCGGCGACGAGCACGATGTTCTGCGGTCTCAGCTGCGCGCATCCTCTGCGCCTGAATTGTGGGCTGGCGACTCAGGTCTGACAGCTCGCATCGGCGTCGTCCAACGTTAGGGGCGGCCCAGGTTGTCTCGCAAATATCCGGTGCACTCTGGCTGAGGTTAGGATCGGAAAAGCCCTCGAATATCGCGCTGAATCGAAGGCGTCGGTGTACAGTGGAGACATGCGGGACAAACCATGCCAGTCAGGCCGCGGCGTTGTCCACGAGTCCACGATGTCCTCGTTCAGGAAAGTGCCAGACAGCCAGGAGGCGGCCTAGTCTTTTTTACCAGCGCAGACGGAGTCCAGTGGCACGACACGACAGACGAGCGACGGACCACAGACGAACGAAGGGAAGGGGGCGGGGGAGGGCACGCAGGGGGCGGCCGCGCCGGCGCGGCCCCGCTCACGCCCAGCGGCGCCGCGGCAGCAGGCCGCGCGCCCACCTCCGCGCGGCGGCGCCGACGCCGCCTCCGCAGAAGCCGCGCCCACCACGCCCGGGAGGGGAGGGTGCCGGCGCCTCGACCGAGCGGGGCGCCGGAGGGAGCGCTGGCGGAGCCGACTCGGCCCCCGGAGGCTGAGCGGCACCTCGCGCGCGGGGGGGGCGGGGCTTGCGCCTCCGGGAACCTCGAGCGCCGGGGCCTCGAGCGGAGGCGTGGCGCTGGGAAGGAGAGTCTGCGGGGCCACGGCGGGGGCTCCGCGCCAACGCCTCCCGCGTGGACCCGGTGCTGCCGGTGTGGAGGCCTGCTGCGCCGCTGGCGCCGCTGGCGCCGCTGCCGCCTGCTGCGGCCGCTGGCCCTGGCGCGGCCAGGCCTGGGCAGGCGGCACAGCGCCCTCCCAGAGATCCGATGTCGTGATTTTTTCAATACGGGGTCCCCGGAAGTCTCGACCCATTCCCCAGGACCGGCTTTTCATCCTGAGTCGTTTTTTGACGGTCCCGGAGCCCTGCGAGGGCCGCTATAGAGGCCGAAAATCTAGAAAAACCTCCGTCTTGATTTTTTCAATGCGTCGGAGGTCTGGGCTGGTGCTGGCTCCATGGCGGCGCCGGGCGGCTCCAGGACCGCCACCGCGAGCCACCCCCAGCGCCATCCGGGGAGCGGTGAAGATCGCTCCGGAGCCGGGCCACGGCATTCCCCGCGCCCGTCGCGCCCCGGGGCGCGCTTCCCCATGAAGCGTCGGGCACGCCGCCGCGCCGCCGGGCGCGCCGCGCTCTGGCCCCCTGGAACCAAAATGGCTTGAGCCGACATGGCTTGAGCCAAACTGGCTAATTACGGAGGGAGGCAGTACGGCAGCACCCGTCGCGCACGTAGTCTAAGGATTCTCGAGCTTGAGGGGTCGTCTGCGTCAGGCCGGGGCGTCAGGTCGCACTGCAGGGGCAGGGGGCCAGGCCTGGAGCCTCCTGAGGATCGTCTTGTCGAAGGAGTCGTGGTACGACTGCCACCGGAGCTCGGGGAGGTACGCCTGCTGCGGAGACTTGGCCGACCGCGTTCGGTCGGAGTTGAGGACGGCATCGGGGCCCCGTGCAGCAGCAGGAGGATGTGCAGCACCGAGGGCAAGCCGAGCGCGGGCGTTGTTGCTCAGGGAGCGCTTGAATTTTAGACGGGCCCCTTGCAGATTGAGACCACCTGGCTGGAGATCCACTGCGCGAAGCGCTTGACGCTCGAGGCTTTGTCGGCGCAGAAGTCGGCGCACCATTGACCCGCCACGATCTTCACAATAGGAAGGCGCTTGGTCAGTAGCTGCTCGAAGACATTGTACGCCAGTGTGTCAGAGAGTCTTGGAAGCCATGCGCGTGCGCAACACCGCGGCAGCCAGGAGGGCTTCGATGCCTCATGAGTCACTTCGCCCCCCTGTCAGTCCGATCGGCGAAAAGACCTCCATCTTTGTGAAGCTGGACGGCACGGCACGCAGCTGTGTGTGCAGTGTGTGGGCCTCCTTGGCCATGAAGCTGGGCGAGGGAGGGTAGGGCGGCCGTTGTGCGAGAGCTGCGACTTTGTAACAATATTAATAATGATAATGCTGATATTGGTAAAAACAATAAGACTACTAACAATGATCAAAACTAATACTAATAATGATACTAATAAGAAACAACAGGGACGAACGAGCGAGCAAACGAGGCGCCGGGTAGGCGCATGCGGCGAAGCGCGTGTTGATGCCCTTTTGGGCAAGGCGCCTGAGGCCGTAGCTCTTAAAACCCAGAAGACAGAAGTCTGAGGTCGGAGCCTGAGGAGGATAAGGAGGAGGAGGAGGAGGAGGAGGAGGAGGAGGAAAAGGACAAGGATGAGGACGAGGACGAGCAGAAGGAGAACGAGGAGGGGGAGGAGGATGAGGAGGAGGATGAGGAGAAGGCGGCGATTCGTCGTCGTCGTCGTCGTCCTCCTCCTCCTCCTCCTCCTCCTTCTCTCCCTCCATCCCTCCTCCTTTTTCCCCTCCTGGCGTCGTCGTCCTCCTCCACCAGACGAACCGTACGACGAGATCACCGCTGCTTTCCGGAGGTCCGGCCAGATTTCCTGAGCCGGCGCCGGCCCGCTCTCCCCGCACCCCCGGGGGGAGGGCGCCTCCAGCGCCCGCCCGGGGTGACGCGTTCCCCGCGCGCCGGGGAGCGGCTGCGGGGAAGGGCGGCCGGTTCTTTCGGCTACACGCACGAGCGACCCTGGGCAAGAGTGGCCTTTTCTTATCCAGTCCTCGCTGGAGTTTGTCGGCGGTGGACAAACCTCCCTTTAGTAAACCTCCCCGTAGTGAAAACGGCCTGGGACCGAAACCGAGGGACCTGGGCCCGCAAAAATGACGGCCGCGACGCCCTCTCACGAAGCGGAAAACCGCGCTCGACGTGTCAGGGTAGGAGGTCTATCCACCTCCGAGTTTGTTTGTCTGATGATGGAGGCGGTCGGCGCGTGCGCCGAGCAGTACGAGCCCCGTCGTGGCGAGGGGGTGGCGGCGCTGAGGCAGGAAGCTCCCGCCCCCGGGGTCAGGAGTGGCTTTTGGTGCGCGGCTTTCTGGGGGGGCCGCGGGGGGACCAGACCTGGACGCTCGAGGCGCTGCTGCCGCTTCGCATTCCGCCATCCTCGAGGGGCCCTGGGACACACAAATAAATACACACAGATAAGCAGATCCCCGATATGTTTCCCATAGTTCCTGGGTTTCTGTCTTCCCCGCCACTTCCCATATTTTCCCACATTTTCTCGGTAATCGACGATTCATTGTGTCTGTGTGTTCTTTTCCCTCCTGACATCTGGGGGCCCATCTGTGCCAGCACCAGAGGTCGCTCCGGAGAAGAGGGTCGCTCTTACTTTTTTCAGTCGCGTCCGCCAGCGAGAGCGCTGGCGGAGTCAGAAGCGTTCCGGGACACGGACACGGCCTAATTAGCTACTGAACGCGCCGCAGGCCGGCCGGGTATGCCTTCCCCTCCTCCCCGGCCGGCCGGGGAGGAGGGGAAGGCATATGAGAAGGAGGAGGAGAAGGAGGAGGAAGAGGAGGAGGAGGAGGAGGAGGAGGAGGGAGAGGAGGAGGAGGGACAGGGGACAGGGAAGGAGGAGGAAGAGGAGGAGGGTCACTCTTACGCGCAGTCGAGTCTTTCCCGGGTGTACGGTCGTTGCCCAGGGGGGGGGGGGGGCGGCGGCGGGGCGGGAGGGCAACGGTGACGGCGGCCGCGGCGTGCCCCCGCCTGGGTGCGGCCGCGCCACTGGCGCATCAGTCGCCTGTGTGCACCCTCATCCTCCTCCTCCTCCTGCATGCCTCCTGCTCCTGCTCCTGCTCCTCCCTCCTCCTCCTCCTCCTCCTCCTCCTCCTCCTCCTCTCCTCCTCCTCCTCCTCCTCCTCCCCCTCCTCCTCCCCTTCCTCCTCCTCCTCCTCCTCCTGCGTGGGGGGTCCAGGCCCCCCCACAGCACGATCGTTAGCGTTACCTGGGGGGGGGGGGGGGGGGGGGGGTGGCCCTGGGTAAGAAGCGTTACCCTGGGGAGGAAGAAGAAACGCTCGCCAGGGGGGTCCAGCACTGACCGACGAGAGCCGCGCAGACTTCCGAAGGTGGGTGCTCATTCAACCAGCTGTTCTTCCATTCTCGCGCTACCCTGGGGCCCCGATGCTCGTTTCGATATCTCGACTTGCCATGGGCTGTCAGAGGGGAATCTCTTGTGCTGACATCTTGAACTGAGGGCGTCGTGGCGGACAGGACGGATGGTATGGCCAGCTTCCTAATTCCTGCCTGCGCCTAATGAGTGCACATGCCATGCTTCTCATTACTAAGGCGTGTTATCGTATATACACATATTTGCATATCAATAGATGTATATATACATACATGTATATATACATATATATACACACACCGTGAGCCTTCAGCATAATCGGTATCGAAATGTATTGTATTTTGGTTCTGCCACTGGTGACCTTGCTGAACTGAAGCTGTGGACTGCACAGTGTGGCCACCTGTTGAGCGTGCGACTGCTGAGCGGGTTCTTGGTAGATTTGTTTTGCGCGTACTGTGACTGACAATCGTGATGCCAATCGTCTTGCTATCCCTTGCGAAGGCATGATCGCATATCTCCTCATCCTCCTTCTTTTCCTCTCCCTCCTTCGCCGTCTCCATGTCGCAACCGCGGTGGAGAGCTCATTCCACAAGCAGCTCAGTATCAGAAGTGCTCGGCGCTGAGGCGAGTTTGGGCCCAAGGAAGCCCTCGACCGAATACCTTCTCTTGCGACGGTGCAACAACAATTCCTTGTCGTTGCGAGGCTTCCACAAGTACCGCGAACCATCCTTTCAAGAGACGTTGCAGATCTCGCTCCGCCAGGCAGTGTGGTGCTACCGGCCGCGCAACTTCTCTCTCAGAACGCCTCATTGAGAAAACCATGGGTTAGGTAGTCGGAGTGGATAAGCAAGCCAGAGAGGGATACACATATATAAGTGTATATATATATATATATATTTATATAAATAAACTTTTTATATATAAACGTACAGAACTATATATGCACAGAGCACGAGAGAGAGAGAGGCGAGAGCGACAGAGAGAGAGAGAGAGAGGGAGAGAAACACAAAACAAGAGAGAGAAAGAGAGAGAAAGAGCGCGATATATATATATATATATATATAGAGAGAGAGAGAGAGAGAGAGAGAGAGAGAGAGAGAGAGAAAGAGAGAGAGAGAGAGACCACGGCCTCTGCAGTGGTGGATAAGAGAGATGGGGCGGGGGGGGCTCATCAACACTGCGAGGCTCGAAAGAAATTTGGAGAAGCCCGCAGAAGTCGCCGATTCTTCCACATTGCACAACGAGCCTGCCGCAGGCGCAGATTTTTCCGTCAAAGCAACGTGGGTGGGTCGCGAGTGGGTCGCGGATGGCTCGCGGGTGGATCGCGGGCGAGTCGC